GTCCCCCGGGCTGGCCGCACTGTCTCCGGAACGGGCCTGCCTCCCGGCCTGAGTGGGCACTGCCAGGTGTTTAATGGCCACTTGGCATTTCCAGATGGGTGAGCAGCTACGTTAAGGAGCCGGGGTGACACCTGTGGGGCTTGGAGGGGCTGCTGGCTAGCCAGGGCTGGCTCTCCGGAGGACACATTAACGCTTCGCTTGGCACGGGGCGGGGCTGGCCCAGCCGTGGGAAGGGCCGGGGGCCGTTCTGTGTCCTCTCGCAGTGTGTCGAGCACCTCGGTCTGTCCCTGGGACTCAGGTACAAACTGGGCATCTGAGAAGCTCCTGGCAGGTGCCAGGACCGGGGTGCCCGCAGGAATGGAGGCAGCGTGCTGGGAGCTGCCCGGCTGGCCCCACTTCGCCAGCTCTGGTCCTACCCCCACTGCCCATGAGCTTGGGGGGCTGTTCAGGAGGGCAGCGCACACAGCTGCATTCCAAGGCCAGTGATTGCTTTCAGGTGACAGACAACATCAGCCAGAACACGATCCTGGAGTACGTGATGATTAACAGCATATTTGAAGCTATTTTACAGGTAAGGGTCTCTCCTCCAGTTCAGAGCCTTAAAGACGACACTGCCCACTGGGATCATGTGTCAGCCTCTCACTCAGCGCCGTGGCAGATTGGTACAGTGCTGCCTCCTCCTTGCTCCTCACTCACCGTTGCGCTTTTCCGGTTGTCACACGTGTGGCTTTACGCTCAGACAGCAGCTGAACGGCCCTGCTTTCCTGGCGGGTTTCTAGACAGGGACTTTGGACGGTCAGCCTGGGGCATAGCTTGGGAGCACACAGATACTGTCCCGTCCAGCGATGGGCGCGGCTGGGGGTGCCCCGTTTTACTCCCCGTAAGCCCGTGTTGTGGAACCGGCTCTTTGGGTTTCTTGTAAGCATTACAGATTCCCGTCTAGTTGGAAATGTCACTGTCAGAGCATTTAACAAATCTTGAATTTCATGGTTTCAGATACTGAAATCTTAAACGTTCCGGTGTTGTAAGGTGGGCGTCCCGACCTAAAAGAGGGTCCGGGAGGGGCTGCACAGCTATTGTAGGGCAGCTGCGGTATTGTCACCCTTACTTCTGCGCCGTCTTCGGAGGTGGGTGGCCAGAGAGCAGTGGCTGCTGGCCAGGACCCCAGCTCTGAAGACAGTGCCGCTGCCAGAGCCAGTGGAGAAGTAATATCATACCATGACTAGGCCATATCATGCCATGCTACCCTACTGTACTGCTGCTGGGGGCGGGGCTGCACAGCCAGCAGCTGCTGCTCTCCGGCCACCCAGCTCTGAAGGCAGCAATGCTGCATCCCCCAGCAATAACGGAACTTCACAGGGAGACCAGGTTTCCTGGTGTGTGATGCTTTTCTCACAGCTGTGGATTCCGTAGGGCCCTATGCATTAGTCACTTAGCACAGGCTGTGCTGATGTGTTCCCATATTGGTCCGCTTGGTTGTCTGGCTTTGGGAAACGAGCTACATTTTAGCCAATAACTGGGCAAGGCGATTCATTTCTGCTTCTACTTCCAGATTCTGTCCAACCCGCCCAGCCGCAGGGAGCATGGCTACGACGCTGTGGTCCTTCTGGCTTTACTAGTTAACTACAGAAAAAACGAGGTAGGTGTGGGGCGCAGACAGCTGTGTCGTAACGCTGGTGTCTGACTTCAGCAGGTCTGTCCTTGGCGCGCGAGCCCTTTGTGAGTGCTAAATACACTGGTAAAGGCCAGCTTTGTATGCACAAAGGCAGAGTTGGTCAAACAGTGACTTCTAAACAAGCGCAAAGGAAAGCCGTTCTTGACAAAAATGCTTTCAAGAGGGCGTCCCGCAAACCGACAGACAGAACCCTTCATGTGTAGCGTGTGTGTGTAAAATGTGTCTTCCCCAAAGAGCGGCAGGCTGGTAGCGTTGCCTGGGGTTTCAGACCCTGGCCGTGTGATCGGAAAGCTGACAGTCGCCTCAGAAGAATGTAGAACTCTTCCGAGAGCTGCCGGTCATGTGATTAGAGGGTGAGCTTTAATCTCTCAGCCTCCAACTCCTTCGAATGAGAAATGTGGTGCTGCGCCTTCCCAAAACCCACCGATCCCCTTTCCTCGGCCACGCTGAGTAATCGGCTTGTGTTTCCGCAGTCTCTCTCTGTCGATCTTATTCCTGAGAAACAGCGAAAGCAATGTCCCCGTGAAATGTCAGGGCCTCGTGTGTTTAATTGTCATAAGGGTTTCCTCAACGTCGGGAGTTTGAATGTGGTTATTTTGAATCACAAGTTCTGGGCTCCTCCGCAACGTGGTCATGAAATGCAGGCGTGTTTCCGTGTGACCTCGCGCCCGACTGCGGGGGAGAGGGGATAAAGGTTTCCCTGCGTATGTTCGTATTGGTCACAATGTGCTAGGGGCAGATCACATGCATCGGCAGATGCCCAGGAAGTAGGACGCATCTAAATGAAATGCAGGGGGAATTCGGACAATTCCTCACGTTCGGCTTTGGCCAGGACTGGTGGTTGATGAGCCAGTGTGTGTTCAGTGTCAGAGGGAGAGTCCGCTTTGCCTAGAATTCTGTGCAGCATGATGCACTCTGGAGCCAGGCAGGACCCTGGCTTCTGTAATAGATGGCCCCCTGAATCAGCTTTGTTACCCAGCCAGCGATGCCTCCAGTGAAGTTTGCTGAACCCCTTCTAGGACCCGACTGGGTTTTCAGGCGCTTCTAACTTGGCCAGACGCGAGCTGCTTCCAAGTTGGGTGTCGGCCCCGGCTGGATGTTTTTGGAAGGATTCAGCCATGGCCTAGCCGACACTGGGGAAAGCACCGTTTGCACCCGTGTAGAATGGTCCCTGTTCTGCCAAAAGGTGGCTCCGTGCTCTGGAGCACAAGTTGGGGGGGCTGTGGTGCCCATCCCCAGCTCCCGGAAGCTGCCCCCGTCTGACCGATGGCTAAGCCTCTGGAAATCTGTTTGCACGTGCGCAGCAGAGGTTTGTTAGTGGCAGCTAACGGCTCCCGAGATTCTCTCTGCACCACCCGTGTAGAATGGTCCCTGTTCTGCCAAAAGGTGGCTCCGTGCTCTGGAGCACAAGTTGGGGGGGCTGTGGTGCCCATCCCCAGCTCCCGGAAGCTGCCCCCGTCTGACCGATGGCTAAGCCTCTGGAAATCTGTTTGCACGTGCGCAGCAGAGGTTTGTTAGTGGCAGCTAACGGCTCCCGAGATTCTCTCTGCACCGAGCATGCTCCAGACCGTCCCCACACGGCGCCTGAGTGCGATGCAGCCCTGGGGCGCAGGAGCTGAGCGGGACCTGTCTGACCATGGCGGTCCAGGCTGCGGGATCCCCATGGTGCTCAGAGAGCAGGGAACGCCGTGCCCAGGCGGGGCAGGAGGAGGAGGAGGCAGCGTAACTCGTGTGTGCCTGGGTGAGGGGCAGGGCAGGGGGCAGGGACAGGAGTATGGGGAGCAGTGAGGGCAGACGGGGCTAGCTGGTGCGGGGAGCTCGTGGACAAAGGGTTCTGGAGCCATCAGAACACACATCTAGTACCACAATTGAATCCCGGAGACCTGATCTGAACATGCCTCCGCTGCCGAGCCAGAGACCAGGGACCCCACTGGCCTAGTGTCTTCCTGCTGCGCCTAGGGCAGCGGCGGGCCCTACGTGTATCCCACAAGGCCTTGTATTTCCTGTTGCCCACATGCAGGGTTGCCAGATTGCACCAATTTCCGTCCTCCACGTAGTATTTCTTCCTCCTGGTACTCCAAGAGTGACCCACGTGCAAAGCCAGGGCCTGGGGCGGGCTGGCTGCTCACACTGACCGTGGGCGCCGGGCTCCCTCCATAGCCCAGCCCTGCTCCGGGGCAGTCGGCTCCCCCCCGCACATTCTAGCACCGTGAGCGCAGCTACCCTTTCCCGGGAGAGCCTCTTGGTTATAACTTGCAGCTCACTCAGATGGAGGAGGCCACCCATGCGGCCCACTCACTGGCCTAGGCTGCCCATCGCGGAGCTAGAGGATAACAGCCTACTACTGCAGCCAGTGGCGGACATGGCGCCTACGCGCCCCAGCTCTGTTCTGTAGAGCCCTCGGCCCGGGTGCTGCAGTGCCACTCCTCCGCAACGTGGGCTGTCCTCCACTCCACACTGGCTTCCCATGGACAGGGAGGCAGAGGGGCCGCCCTGGTCTGAGAGCCTGATCCTCCTGTTGCAGACCGTAGCCGGCAGCCCCGCTCTTCAGGCAGATGGGACCCTTTTGCCGTAAGGAGATGGCATTCTGTTACCATGGAACGAGCCAACGACCCCTCCTCCGCTCCCCCGGGGTCCGTCTTCCTGCCCGCACTAGCGCTAACGCGGCGTGGGCATGAATGTGCCTCTCTGCGGAACCGCAGCACCCTACAGCTCAGCCCCAGGGCGAGAGCCCCGGGCCTGGCTGGCTGCTGTGCGCAGAGCCTGGGCTGAGCCGAGCACTGTGGAGAGCAGGAGAGCAGCCGTGGGGTTTGGTCTGGGGCCGCAGCAGGGCATGGCTGTTTTCAGGCAGCTTTTTCCGGACTGGGGGGACTTACCCACGGTGAATGAGGCCAAGTGTGGCAGGGCGAGATGAGACGGTCTCAGCTGCCTTGGGGGCTGGATTCTGCCCCTGGGAGGGGCTGGGCTGTTACTCGCACCAGACCCTTCCTGGGGGCTCACTTGCTGTGTTCCTCCTTTTCTGGGGGCCTGACAGCCCGGTGCTGCGTACACCCAGCTGCAGCAGGGCGCGGTGGGGCCATGCCGTACCATGCTCAGCACGCAAGTACCCGGCATCTCAAACTGGGCACCCCAAATGAATGCATTGCTAACATGGTTCTCCCTTGATCAGCCTGAGCCAGCGCTCCAGCACCGACATCTCAGCCTCCACAGAGCTTAGCAAAGTTAGAAGAAACTGAAAACAGGGTCTGCCTTTAACAGGTAGCGCCAAGCCGCCTTCTGTGTGACCAGCTCTGCCCGTAATGCAGCCGGTCTCCCGGCTGGGAGGGAGAAGAGCCGTCTCTCCCTTGCCTGACCCGGGCGTTTGTAGAGTTCGAATTGTCAGCGTGGCCGATTGTTTCATGGCTTGGTTTCCTTTGCGTTTCTCTCTGCCTTGCTTCACTTGGTTTATCAGTTCCCTTTTCTTTTGCATCCCGTGGGTTGCTAATTGTTGTTCCACTTACTTAAGGAAATCTAATCGGGCTGCGAATTGATTAGTTGCCTACAATTTTGTGGGTGTCTGAAGAAAGCACCAGTGTTTATATGAATGTTCTTTCAGATTTCTGCTATTTGTGTTTTCTAGTCTCCTTTACACCTCCGTGTGGAATATCTGTTCAAGATTTCATAACCAATGCAACTGCATCATGTGTCTTGGTCATAAGAACGGCCGGACTGGGTCAGACCAAAGGTCCATCTATCCCAGTGTCCTGTCTACCGACAGTGGCCAGCACCAGGTGCCCCAGAGAGGGTGGACCGAAGACAATGATCAAGCGATTTGTCTCCTGCCATCCCTCTCCAGCCTCTGACAGATAGAGGCCAAGGACACCATTTTATCCCCTGGCTAATAGCCTTTTATGGACCTAACCTCCATGAAATTATCTAGCTTCTCTTTAAACTCTGTTATAGTCCTAGCCTTCACAGCCTCCTCTGGCAAGGAGTTCCACAGGTTGACTACACGCTGTGTGAAGAAGAACTTTCTTTTATTAGTTTTAAACCTGCTCCCCATTAACTTCATTTGGTGTCCTCTAGTTCTTCTATTATGGGAACTAATAAATAACTTTTCTTTATCGGCCCTCTCCACACCATGCACATGATTTTATAGACCTCTATCCTATCCCCCCTCAGTCTCATCTTTTCTAAACTGAAAAGTCCCAGTCGCTTTAACCTCTCCTCATATGGGACCCATTCCAAACCCCTAATCATTTTAGTTGCCCTTTTCTGAACCCTTTCCAAGGCCAAAATATCTTTTTTGAGGTGAGCAGACCACATCTGTACACAGTATTCAAGATGTGGGCGTACCATAGTTTTATACAGGGGCAGTAAGATATTCTGGGTCTTATTTTCTATCCCTTTCCTAATAATAATTCCTCTCTTATTAGCTTCAGTTACAGGCACTGAAGAGATGTGTGTGTTCTTTACACAGACACACTATCAACCTGAAATCTAGCCATGTTCAGGAACAGTTTAAAGTCGACTTGGGTACGATCTCTGCCCAAGTCCCTCTGTCGTGGGTTGGGGTTTATACTGATATTTTCGCATTTCATAGAAAATATTTCACTCTCCTTTGTTGCTCTGTGAGAGACTCACATGAAGAGGGGAAATTAAATAATTGATTACACAATGGAGGTAGTGACGCTAACTATACACAAGCCTGTCAACTATAGAAAATCAACTTGGCAGGGAGTGAGGGGTTTCCTGTAATCTGTCCTACTTCTAGTCCTCTGGCTTGCTCCTTGTGAGGCTAGGAGAGGGTAACAAAGTGACTGAAGCGGGTAGATCCCTTGAGAATCACATTTCTGCCTGGCAGTGCTGCTAAGTACCTGCGGAGTTACCAACACTGCCTGCCATGGGGAGAGCTGAAAGATGTGGGCACACACATTGTTCTCTCTCACATGGTTTATTATTTGCATGGCTAATGCCTGGCAAAT